ACTCCAGTCTGGGTGACAGAGTGAAACTCCAACTCAAAAAAAAAAAAAAAAAAAATTGTGCATCAAAGTCATTTGTTGACTGTGAGAGGCACAGCAGACCACATAAACATTGATAGAGAAACAGGAAAATCTTAATTGAAAATCTTGGCATGAGAAAGGTGTGTGCAAAAATGGTCCCGAAAGAGCTCTTGCATCATGACAATGCACCAGCTCACACAGCTCTGTCTTTGAGGAGGTTTTTAGCCAGTAAACAAATAACTGGATTGGAACACCCTCCCTACTCACCTGATCTGGCCCCCAATGACTTTCTTCTTTAACTGAAGATTTTAAAAAATTAGATGGAAGACATTGTGATGACATTTAAGACATCAAGGGTAACGCAATGACAGCTCTGATGGCCATTCCAGAAAAAGAGTTCCAAAGTTGCTTTGACAGTGGACTAGGCGCTGGCATTGGTGCATAGCTTCCCAAGGGGAGGACTTCGGAGGTGACCATAGTGATATTCAGCAATGAGGTAGGTAGCACTTTTTCTAAGATGAGTTCACGAACTTAATTGTCACATGTTATAAAATCCATTTCTCTCTCCTAAGCATTTACCTTTCTATGACTTTTCACTTGTATATGTCTCCCCCCACTCCCCCAAAATGCTATATAATTCACATACCATAGAATTAAACCTTTTAAAGTGCACCATTCAGTGGTTTTCAGTGTTTCCACAAAGTTGTACAATCGTCACTGCCATCCAATTCCAGAGCATTTTTATCACCCCAAAACTGACATGTCTACTTGACAGAGTTATAGGATTACAGATCTTTCAAAGAGCAGCAGACTGGGGAAATTTGCTATGGTGAGGCAGAAAATTATGGTTTTAATCTCATTTAAGGTATAGATTAAGCAGAAACTTACTTGGTTCTCTATATACTTGAGATACTTTGACGTATACCTTCAAACCTGCCACATGGCAATATATATACAACCTAAATGGCAACATAATCCATATATATTTTCCTTAAATATGTTTATTTTTAATACCTATTTCCTTAAATATGTTGATGTTAAGATTATTTTGAATGCCTGCACATATAGAAGACAAGTGTGCCTTCACTGTCCATTTTCCTTTTCCTTCCTGGCTTTCTGCTGCTGAGTTTTCCTCCCTCTACTCGTAGAGCCAGTTCTAGGCGAACCCTCTCACTAGCGGACTTAGCTGCTCCCCAGACCTCCCACAGCACCTGAAGCCCATCCTGTGCTGGTGTTGCTCTGATCCTGTTCCAGTACCCAACTCCTGGTTTGCTTTGTGCATTGTCCCGTGTTAATGACCACTGGGAAATCCAGGTCTTCCGATCCTCCAGCCCGTCCTGCTTTGCCAGTCACCTGGGGACTTACAGACTTGTCCCTCAATGCTGCAGCTAGCCTGGCTCTCTCTTGCTCTCAACTCTCAGACTCGACCCTCAGTCCCACCTGCCTGGGCTCAATTTCCTGTTAGCCTATGTTGGCTCCATCTCCTTATGCCAGTATCTCTCCACCCACATGGCCTGCCAGGTACATCCTCTGAGGGACATTTTTTAATATGAACGAATGATGTCCTTCAGAATACTGCCTACAGTATTCTGGTTCTGATGTCAACCATCTCCCCACTGGCTGTTCTGCCCACCAGCAGCTGGCAAGACCCTGCAGGTGGCTAAAGACCCTCCTGGCAGCGGCCCCGCCCTGTCCTCTTTAGGCCTCTGACGTCTCCCTTCCCACGGCCCAGAATCTGGGTGGGACTATATGCTCCAAGAACAAGCTCACCATGGTTACAAGGCGGTGGGTATTATTATGGGTAGCAATCCTAGCAAAGAAATTTAATAAATACACGTTCCTGCTTAAGTGTTCTTAAGTAATCTCCCAGGGAATGGGGGATTTTAGGCTGCAGTAAGGCTGCAGATTTTCAGTTAATGGGGTGATTTTGTCAGCTACACACAGCTGTCTCCCTTTCCCCAAGAAGCAGTCATGGAAGGCCTTTGATAACTGGGTTGAGATGTACACACTTTATTAATTATCAAGATTTTTTTTCTAGCTCTCTTTTACTATTAGCTCATTTCCTTCTAAAACAATAGAATCAAAGATTTTGAACCCTAGCTGTCTTCATGAAGCAAATAAAACAGGATTATTCTTTAAATGTTAAATTCTTGGGCAACCCCTTCAGGTCCCCTCCCACTGTGGGAGCTTTTCTGTCCTCTCAATAAATCCTGCAAAAAAAATTTAAAAATACATAAAAAATACACTTTAAATTTTTAAATAGGAAATACAATCACATGATACAAAACTAAAAATGAACTTTTCCCTATTTGGGAAAAAGTCTCCCTCCCACCCTATTCTCAGTCACACCTCCCCACATGGAACCCACACTACCAATGCCATGTTTCTGGTGCATCCTTCTAGACGTGAAGAACTGATTTGTGATCCGATTGGAAGGCTACTCTATATAACAGCTGCCTTAGAAGCCAACTGGGATCAGGTCTGTTTGCAGCTTGTGAGTTTTGGGGAAATGAATTTAACTTATGGTACTTAGAAGTCTTGTGGGGGGAAAAAAAGCAGCCATGCATTGGCAGCTACAGTTTTTTTTTTTTTGAGTTGGAGTCTCACTCTGTCACCCAGACTGGAGTGCAGTGGCCGCTCCCGGCCACCGCAGCCTCGACCTGCTGGGTTCCGGCGATCCTTCCACCTTAGCCTTCCAAGTAGCTGGAACTATAGGTGTGCGCTACCACGCCTGGCTAATTTTTTTAAAATTTTTATTGTAGAGATGAGGTCTCGCCAAGTTGCCCAGGCGGGTCTCGAACCCGCGGGCTCAGGCAATCCACTCACCTCAGCCTCCCAAAGGCGTGGGATTACAGGCTGAGCCACCGAGCCCAGCTGACAGCTACAGTTCTTAACCAATAAGCTACAAATATTCTGTCTGGTCCACCGAAATTGTATCAACTACCCTGTTTTCTGATAGACTGCCCCTGAATTAACATGGAACATTAGTGTCTGTTTATAGCAAATATCCTCTGAACAAATTCCCCCCACAAATGCCTTGCTGAGTCTTTAAAAAAAGTTAAAATAGCAAGATGGTTATCAGACTCCTTTTGCCTCACTTTCCTGTGTCTTTCTGTCTTATGTGCATCTGTTTTAGGGCATTCAGGCTGGTGTTTGTCTTAACGGCTGATGGGCTCTTCCAGAAAAAGCATGTCCACAGTCTGTGCAAGGCTTTGGGAAGAAGGGAGGGAGAGGATAATAAATTGTAAATAAAAATTCTCTTTATAAAACCACATGGATTTACTTCCCTATGCAAAGCCATGTTGGGTCTAACTCTGAAAAACCATAAGCTAAAGAAACACAACACTTCTGCCAGTGCAGCTACATAGACGAGCAGATCTGAATTTAGAATCCTGCAGGAAAGGTTGACTTAAATATTTATTTTCATGCTGTTAACCCAATTGTAGTGAAAGTCATTATGGATACTAAAATTACTTTCTGCTCTACTGAAAATGCACGCTGGCATATAACAAAGCAGAAGGACGCTTGGTCCCTTCTGTCAAACCAAGACGAAAAGAACCTAACCCAGAAGAACAAATGGGGGATTTTCCATAGATTTTGTTTTATAAAATATCACCCATGACTATATTTGAGAATTTGGCTATAATTTCAGCAAGGATGGCATCAAATTTCTGAATGTTACAACAGAACTGGAAAATGTGGTTTTGGTTAAGAGAGAAACTATTAAATGTGAAAATAACACTTGACTTAATAGCCCTGTTACCTCCAAAAAAAAAAAAAAAATTCCTTAAAGAAAGTCATAATTGAAACTGATCTTATCCAGAATAGAATACAAATAAACTACTAGAGACCTGTGTCCCCAGACACTGAGAGAGTATCTTTACTTGATGGTCTCACGCTGAAAAATTGTTTTACTCTGAAGCTTTTTTTTTTTTTGTAGAGACAAGGTCTTACTATGTTTCCCAGGCTGGTCTTGCACTCCTAAACTCAAGCAATCCTCTTGCCTTGGCTTCCCAAAGTGTTGGAATTACAGGCGTGAGCCATCACATCTGGCTTCTCTGAAGCATTTTGTTCTCAAAAGCAAATAAACAACAAACAAACAAAAGGTATCATTAATAGATCAGAGTAACCTACAAACAAATACTCTGGGTTCTTATCCACTTCTTTGAATGTCTTTTTCCTCAGTCAGCTGAGACAGCAGGCCAGAGAGAAGGCCTCTGTTTCTTCCCCTCACAAATGTGTCCATTAGCGAGTTACAACACAGACCCTTTAAATTCCGAAGGTCCCACGTTTGCCCCTTTCCTAGCCCCCCTTTTCCGACAATTTTTTCTATTTTATCTGGCTTTCTGTTCTTGATCATGGCACAGTCTTGTGCCTGTGAATGTAAAGAAAGCATCCCACTGTCATGAGTCTGGCAAAATGTTCATAGCTGGGAGCAGAAATCATACAGGAATCGTATGAAGCCCAGAAAACAGATAGGGAAGATTTTTTATTTAAAAAAAAGACATAAAAATCAAATATTAACTAAAATAAAGTCTAATATGGCAGAATATAGGAATTGCTGTGAGCAGAGGTAAGGACTGGGAGAGCTGGGGTTGGGGGGTGGACAAGGTACCCAGAGTGTTGGTGATAAAGAGAAGAAAGAGGTCGGGCTTGGTGGCTCAGCCTATAATCCCACCACTTTGGGAGGCCAAGGTGAGTGGATTGCCTGAGCCCGCAAGTTCGAGACCAGCCCGGGCAACTTGGCAAGAACTCATTTTTACAATAAATCAAATATTAGCCGGGCGTGGTAGCGTACCTGTAGTTCCAGCTACTTGGAAGGCTGAAGTGGAAGGATCACCGGAGCCCAGCAGGTTGACGCCGGGGTGGCCATGAGTGTGCCACTGCCCTCCAGCCTGGGCAACAGAGTGAGACTCCAACTCAAAAAAAAAAAAAAGAGTAGGAAGAGGCGTGGCCAGGTAGTCCCTAAGCATTAAGGCATGGTGAGCTTCAGGAAGATTTTTCTACCTAGGGCAGCTCTTCTAATTGAGTTTTCAGTTTGACCACGACCGAAGAATGGCTGAAATTCTTTAATACAACTATGTATATTTCTATAATATGGAGACCAAAAAAAGAAGCAATTCGAAGCCTTAGTCTCCTCACCTGTACAATGGGGTAGTAACTGTGCCCATCCCACTGCACTGAGAAGCAGATGCAACCATTCATGTAAATGATGTGGCATTGGTGAGCGACCATACTCCATGAACATTAAGGTTCTGCTTCCTCACTTTGAAGCTAAAGACCTTTCTAGTAGGTTGCTTGGAGATTTAAGTCACGCATCTGCTCAACACCCTCAGCTCTGAGTCTGCATTCGATAAGGATACAAGGTAATGTGCACATGTGAGCAGAATCAGTCAGTAGACATTACCGACATCCAATTATTTCTTGAGAGAATAAAGGAAAAGGGTATCACCAGGAAGGGGAAGAGGATGGAAAAGACAGACCGGGGACCCAAAGACAAACTCTGAAGGACAATCTTCCCGAGTGTCCCATGCTTGTGTACTTTGAGCCTGGCTATTACACGCACAGCTGTATGGCAGAGTATTTTGGCTGGAAAACTGGGAGAAAATGTATGCTTTGAAAAGCATGCTTGATTTCAAAGAAAGAAGTGCTTTCTCATGAGATTGGAAACTTGGGAGGTATCAATCTGAAATCATGACAAGTGGCCCGAGTCATTTCAGTGGCTTTCTATCTGGGGTTCCGTGAGTTACATGAGCCAGGCTTGGGTGATGGCGGAGACACAATTTACTCAGTATGTCTGCAGATAAAGCTCCTGCCAGATTATATCTGTGATTTCTGTTAACTAGGACATAGCAAGTTGTGATCGAATGTCTTTCTAGACATTCTCATTTCAAATGAACTTGATAGAATTTCAATCTTACAGATTTACAGAGAAAATACCAGACTCATGTTTCTTGTACAAACCAGAGCTTCGTATTTCATGCTTCAGAACATGTAGGTAAGGGGACAATAGTCCGTGCACCCCAATGATTACCTGGCACACTCCCTGGGGTGTGTTCACCTCAACTGGGAGACCTGTGAACTGTGGAACACATTAAACACTTGAGACCTCAAGTTATAGCAGCCAGATACATGACCTAAGTCCTAACTGAAATAGATACAGAGAATCAGAGGATTTAACAGTAAGCTCCAAGTGCTTAAAATATAATTCATTTCTTTACTTGTAAGTGGACCCTGGACATTTACCATAATACTATAAGAAAGGAATTGGCAGTAGCGGGA